TGTATGTTACACTTACACAGCTACAGCACCCATAAATCTGAACATATATCAGAAACCAAAAGGTTAATTGATTGTTCAGACTGAACATGTCTTTGTACTGTACATGTCTTCTACATTAACTGTTTTATTGTTAATATGTTAATATGGTGGGCAGATTGCATGTTAATTTTCTCTTTAAACAAATGGAAATGGTTAATGCAGTCAATAATTTAAATTACATACTTCAAATAAGATTTGTAACTTGGTTTTGCTGAAAAGTGTCAACTAATCCATTAATGGTGCAGGTTGGCATGACAGCAGGCTGTACTTAGAAACACTTGTTCAAAACTTAAGCTTGTTAATCCTAATATCTACTCAGCTGCAGTAACTCTGTGAATTTAGTCGTGTAGACATGGTCAAGATTACGTGCTGAAGTTTGAAACTAAGCATCAGAATTGACAACAAAGAAAATTTAAATGACTTTGGCACATTTCCCACACTTTATCATTTTTACCACAACCATTGCAGAGAATATTCTGAAAGAGAAATCAACCATGGTCAGTCTTCTTCAAGCTGATAGAAAGAAAACAGTAACTCAAATAACTATTACAGCTAATGAATATATATCACATATATGAACACACGACATGTCCAAGTTTGAAGGAAATGGGATAAACGCTTCTCATTTTACAATTTCACACAAAAAGTCCATGTCAGGGAAAACAATGACTAGGAGGAGGATCCTTTCCAAAGAAAAGGATGTAATGAGGGGGGATCCCAGAGAGTAAAATCAACACTGACTGAGAACACTGAGGTCTTTTTAGGAAGGAGACTCACAATTTCTTGTTGTGTTTCCAAGTTATTGTACTGACTAATTTTCAGCTGTCAACAGTCAATTGTCTAGTTCTGGTTGTATTGGTTGTATTGGTTGTTTTGTTGTATTGGACAACATGACGTTGTGGCCGTTTTCCCGAGGTACTAAGCCAAGATACTCATGGATCTTTGTTGTTTTATCATGAAAAGTGGGTTCTGACATTCACTAGTCTTCGACTTTCCTCTTTCTCCTTAAAATACAGTTTTAGTGTGCTGGTTATCATCCAACTGCACTTCTTCAGTCTGAGTGGCATTGCTGTAGATCTTAGTGGTATGGTTCAGTGAATCAATGTCTTATTCACTCATGACATACACCTTAATGTCATCCACATAGAGGAGGTGGCTAATGATTGTGGCATTCCCTAGCGGGTATCCTTAGCCAGTCTTGATAATGATCTGGCTGAGGGGATTCAGGCACATGCAGAAAAGCAGTGGGGATACAGCATCTCCTTGGTAAATCCTGTGCTGTTTGTTTGAAGTTGGGCTCTAGTGTTGTTGCCACATCCCCATTAAATTCCTGATGAATGCTCTTATGATCCTGTTGATCTTGTACAGTTCTAGGCATTCCACGATTCATGTGAGAGGCATTGAGTAATAGGCTTTCTTGTAATCAATCCAGGCGGTGCACAGGTTGGTCAGTCTGGTCTTACAGTCTCCTTGGGGATGAGGACTACCCAGCCTTCAGTTAGCCATTCCAAGTGTATCTCATCCATTAGCTGCTGGTTCATTTGTGGTGCCAGATGCTCATGGAGTGGAGTTATCTTTTTTAACCAGTAGGCATGAATCATATCAAGGCTTGGTGCTGTCCTGCTCTTCGTGCTTGAGACTCTGTCTTGGATATCTTCCTCTGTGATGGTTACTGGATCCTGTTCAGGGAGGTTGCTCTGGTCTACTCTTAGCTCTACCAGCCATCGAGCATTGTTGTTATGAGTTGCATCTTTCTGTTCTTCCATTATTGCTATCTCCAGCTGTTCTCATATTCCTCAACTGCCACTGAGAGTACACCTTTAGTACACCTTTAGTTTAGTGGAGGAATTCTGGTTTATTCTCCTGGCTTCTTTCTCTCTGGTATACCTGTTCAATCTGTCCAAGACTGACATGGAAATTCTGTCTGATGATACACAGTTAGGTCCTTACATATTTGCACACTGAAAAAGTTTTGTCTTTTTATCCGTATACTGAAAGTGTTCCAAAATGTTCCAGTTATTGTTATATAATAGACATGAACATAATGTGTAGACTCCCGGCTTTCATTTGAGGGTATCCGGATTCAAATTGGATGAAGAGTTTAGGAGTTTCTGCTCCTTAACATGGGCCACCCTCTTTTCAAAGGGACCGAAAGTAATTTGAAAATTGACTCACAGGCTATTTCCTGGGAAGAGGTGAGTAATTCCTTCTTATTTGTCTGACTCTATGCCATTGTTTAAATCACAGTTAAAGACTTTATTTAATCTTGCTTTTCCATCTAGCTAATATTTTGTGTGTGTTGACACATTTTTATCTATTATGCTTTGTTAATTACTTTTATGTATTATGATTGTCATGGTTTTATATTTAATACGTGCTGGGTCCTTTCTCTTTTCCCTCTCCCATCTCCCTTATCCTATCGTATTTTGTCAAGCACCTTGGTATAGCCTTGGTTTTTTTAGTATGCTTTATGAATAAACTTTATTATTATTATCATTATTATTATAAATTATAAAAATTTGTAAATTATAAATTAGGAAGGTAAAAGTCCTGGAGCAGATTTGAGGTGTAGTGCTTGCATGTGGAAGATTTTGCTGTGAACAGACAACGTGCGGTCTACATGTAGGTAAAACAAGCCATCCTTAAGTTGCGAAAACAGGAAGAAAAAAAAACATCAGAGAAATTACTATAATAGTAGGCGTGGCGAAATCTACAGGTTGGTACATCTTGAGTAAGAAAGAAAGCAATGGTGAACTCAGCAATGGAAAAAGACCTGGACATCCATGGAAGACATCAGTGGTGGATGATCGCAAAA